GCAAGACTAGCCCCTAGAACAAGATTCCAATACTGGAAACAGTTCAGGTAGTCCTCCACTGACAACATACTTGAGTTACCGTAAACAACACTTAAACAACCGTCTGTGGTGTGTGTGTGTGTGTGTGTGTGTGTTTAAGGGGGGTACATCCTATCATTAGTAATATGTACTCCATACAATGTGAAAATGTATCTGTAAGTTTATATGCCATGTTTCTATCCCCAGCAAAAACAAATAAAGATTGCATTTATAAAGATACTAGTAATAAAAGGCAGTAAGAATGAAAAGCAAACCAAAAACAAAAAAAATCCCAAGGTATTCAACCTACATCAGAGTTGTTGAAGCTGAACCCTGATATATGTTGGGGATTGCCTGTAATTCACAGAGGTAGCAGGTGGAATGGGGCGCAAAAGGGACATGAACAGGGCCTTCTAGGGTGGGGCTGGAGTTGGCATGGTTCTATTTCTTGACCTGCACTGGTTACGCAGGTGCATTCCCTTTGTAAAGACTCAAACTATACATTTATGACTAATGCACTTTGCTGTGTATATGTTATATTTCAAAATAAAAGGGTCAGAAAAACAAAGAGGGGCAAATGAAATAGAAGATACATGTATTCTTTAAACAAGATATATCTATATGAACACCAAGTGTGTACTCTAGCATAGCTCTTGTTTCTCTAGTGTATAATATTTAATACATGCAGTGCAGAGAGAAACACACATGCATATCACAGCAGCCCACTATCACCAATGGCTGCTGACTATTTTCAATGATAAGGTTGCTTCTGATGTTAAATACAGGACAAAGTTACTGGCCTATACTTGAGACACCAGGGTTACTTCTACTGAGTTTCAAATGTGGATTTGAACTTTGGGTTATTCTCCAATGTTTCATTTTATTTTGGAAGAGATTCTTTCTTTTCATCTGATGAAAACATAACTGTTCACATTCTTGCTTCCTGGGGAAAAAAATCCTCCTTTGCCAAGTTAATGGGAGCAACACCCCCACACATACACTCTATGCAAACATAATGGTGCTTTCACTGTGTTTGCACAGTTAACTCGAAGGTGCCCCACCTCTGGATTACTACAAAATATTTCATTAAAGAAAGAAGCTGACGAGGCATTTTAGAGAAATAGGGATGAAAGCACAGCCATTACTAGAAAACATCAGGTCCAGCCTGGCCCAGCCTTTCTAGAATCCTTTTAACAGGTAATGATAGTGTTTCCTCGCCTATGTTGTAGAAGGGAGTATATGCAAATGGCATACATTTGGCAGTAGCTATTGAAGTTTGGGAACTCTGGTGGCGTAGTGCCTAAGGTATTTGATTGCTAACTAGAAGGTTGGTGGTTCAAACCCACCGGCCACCCCTCAGAAGGAAGGTTGGGTGATCTACTTCTGTAGTGATACCACCTCGGAAAGCCAAGGAGGGGTCGCTTTGAGTTGGATCCGACTCCACAGCACCAAGTTAGTATCCAAGTTTTTAATGTAGAAAGTCCTGGCCGTTCATTCTAGAGAAATCAGCCGATGAACACCCTACACAGCCCAGTTCGAATCTGACACACATGGGGTCACCATGAGTTAGAGTGACTCCGTGGCAACTGGCAACCTTTACTCCAGCCAGTCTACTGCTGGGACTCTGTCCTCCTGAGCCACCTTACCTGAATGTAGTAGGACAGAACTACCAGACACACACTGATATCTCAACTGCAAGAGTACAGAATTGAAAGCGGGACGGACATGAGTAGGAAAACGGTAGAAGAAATTACAGTGCGTCCATACCAGGAACTTTACCACATAACATGGGACCGGAAGGGCTATCACGTTAATATAATCAGGTGGATCAGTGTGTGCTGAAGTGAAAAACCATCCGTGCCATTCACATGAGTCAGAAACAGTAAGATAACAGGCTAAATACCTACTGCACGATCTCACTTTAATGAAAATACCCCTCCTACTCTCTCTATAGACACACACACAGACACACACGTTGTTGTTGTTGTTGTTGTTGTGTGCCGTTGAGTCGGCCCTGACTCATAGCGACCCCTCCTTGGGTTTCCGAGGCAGTATCACTACGGAAGTAGGATTGCCCAACCTTCCTTCCGAGGAGTGGCTGGTGGGTTTGAACCGTCAGCCTTCTGGTTAGCAGGCAAGTGACTTAGCCACTATGCTACCAGAGCTCCGTTAGATGTATATAAATGCATTTAGAAAAAGGTCTAAGTGGATATCCACCAAATCATGAGGGATGGGGGGGATGGAAGGACTTTTCCTTTATCCCTTTTTCCATTTCCTTATAGCTTAACTTTCAAAAGCCTGTATTAGTTGTATAATTCATTAATATATCAAATAGCATACACCGATTTTATACACATACATATACTTTTCGCATATAATGCACCTACAAAAAGAACATGCATACAGGTTATGGGCAGCAAATGGCCTGAGGGGGTTGCACAGTATGCAAAAACATGTAACACATGCATTATATGGATAAAAGTGTAGTTTGTGTTTGTATAAGTCTGCTTCTATTCTTTCAATTGTGATCACATATATTTCCATAATTCAGAAGTTAGGCATGGGTGCCTGTTCTTTCAAATACAACACAGACACTCTTACTTGATTTTCCTTACCATTTCCGAGGGTGAGACGTGCCATAAAGAAACCGTTCTCTCCTCAGCTTCATTGTTTATGGAAATGTAAGAAGGCTGGTAGACTTTGGTTGGTTCTATCACCAGAACCTAAAATAAGAACACATTTCTGTAACACTTAGGAATATGAAACATAGGTTACCCCACCCAGTGAAGAACTATGAAGACTTGTACTCAACAAATACTTATCCAGTACCAACTATGTGCACACAGTGCTCCAGGAGCCAGAGTTAGTGCAGCATACAACACAAAGCTCCTGCCTGCGTGAGGGTTACGTTCTAATGGGGCAGACAGAACACCAACAAAAACCCACTGCCACTGAGTTGATTCTGACTCATAGCAACCCTACAGGGCAGAGCAGAACTGCTCCGAAGGGTTTCCAAGACTGTGAATCTTTATGAAAGCAGACTGCCACGTCTTTTCTCCTATAGAGTGGCTGGTAGGTTTGAACCACTGACCTTTCAGTCAGCAGCTGAATGCCTTAACCACTGTACCACCAGAGCTCCTTGAATAACACACAGATAACCAGCAAACCATTTGCCAGTAGAGTCGACTCTAACTCACCATGACCCCTTATGTGTCACAGGGTTTTTCAGTGACTCAGTTTTCTGAAGTAGATCACCAGGCCTTTCTTCTAAGGCACTTCTGGGTAGACTCAAACCTCTAACCTTTCGGTTGGTAGCTGAGTACACTAATCATTCGCACCACCCAGGGACGCCAACAAAGAGACAGGGAGGTGCAATCTAACAACACAGAGATCTAGGGTAAGAGTGAAGTGAGGGCACTTCTATAAATGGGGTGGCCAAGACAGGCCACTCTGAGAAGACAACAAAGAAGAGGGAGGGAGGGAGGGCTACAGTTTTTATGAGAAAAACAAGAAATTTGACAGGATGACCCAGGTACCAAGTGCTGATTTAAAAAAAAATAAAAGAGAGAGGAAAAATCTGGTAACATTTATTTTGTTAAGAGACAGAGAGAAGGAAGGGAGGGGGAGGAGAGAGACTGAGAGCTCCAAAGCAAATCAAAGCAAGACGTTTAATATGCTGAACCTAAGTAGATTACATCAATGTCCTGTTGTGTGTGTGTGTGTGTGTGTGTGT